TTTATTCATTAATGCCCTTACAAATACAACACATATTTCAAACATTAAGTTAAATTAATGCTTGTTGAATTTAAAGCAAGTTCTATGTCTCTCACCACCAGAAATTAGCAGCAAATAAAAAGTCAAAGGTTAATGGTTTGTACTCTGAAGATCTTGGTAAATCTTCTGACCTGGTACTTGGGTGTTGTTTTACTTTTCTAGTTATTGCCATAAAACAGGTACAATGAACCACTATCAACAATTAAACCTGGGTGATTAATGGAAATTCCTAATTAATCAATACCATTCAAGTAATTGAATATCCTAAAAGGAGACTAATCTTCTTATTTTCAGCCTCATTTGAGTTTTTTTTAAAGATTTTTGAACAATCCTTCCCTTAACCCTTTCCAGATGGGTCAAAGATGAAAGGCCATGTCATCTTGTTTGTAGACTTGCATTCAAAATTTTATTGAACTACTATTTCTTGAATTTATGTCAATAAGTTTGGTATCAAACTGTATACTATAATTAAAATTTTAGAACTATACATTACTCAATTTCTTAATTTAAAAGTAAATATTTAAAAAACACAGATAAAGATTGATTTTTTGTGTCATGTGGTATGTTGAATGCAGCACTGGTTCAAATTAGATGTTTATGAAGTCAAAATACTAAGTCTCAAATTAATGATATTGACAAGCTAGAATATAAAATAAGGTTTTTACCTTTTCTATTTGCTAAGATATCGCTCATGTAATAAATCAAACACAGCGGCACCCTGTCCACCTCTTTCCATTTTTGGAAACACTCCCTAAAATATATTTACTTCTATATGTGACATGAATAACAAATTGTAAGCACAGAATGTCCCCCTAGTGGATTTCTCAGCCTTTCTAGCATGGCTAGCACCATTTCTTTCTTTTGAACCAAGATTTCAATGAAGTACGTTGTGTCTTTAATCTGCTCGAAATTTCATATTTTTTTTTTAGAGTAAAATACATCTCAGTTACTAAGCTGGATAAATTATAGTTGAATTCTATGATATCGATGTAGTAATTTACAATTTTTTAGTTATTCAAATGTATATATATATAAAACCTAAAAAACATATTTTGTTTAAAATCCTCCATGTGCAAAATTTTTAAAGGCTTAGCAATCTATGTCAAGCAGTAACCAAGTGCAAAGGTCATAAGTAGAAGAGATAGTTGTTTGCTTTACTTCTTTATTTACTTTTCTATGTTTTAAGAAAAATATGTTTAAAAACTTATTTCAAAATAGCAATAATCTATATACATATATAATGATTATTAATTGAAATATGACTATTTTACAAAATACTACTCTACTAAAACACAGCCAAGGCAAGTTACTTTGTACAGACCAAAGGTCAGTTTTATGTTATTTGATACAGTAACATGAGTGCACAAGAGCCACGTCATTGTAACTTCTGTATTGTTAGCCAGGCACGGGTGAAAGGACAATAAATTAAAATAATAAATATATATAAATGTATAATGTTATGAGATTTAAGCTATTTCATCTAAACATTTATGTTTTGTGTTCATTCTAGAAGGAAAGAGGAATAATTCCCTAAATTTTTTTATGGTTGTTGCGAGATTGTTCAAATCTACCAAACCCGTACAGAGATTAATTACTGAAAATACAAGATAGAATATATAGTTTTTTCTTAAGAAATGTCTGATATCTATACGGACATTATCAAGATTTTGCATATGAAATTTCAAAATTTTAATCTTAAAATGAAAATTACTTTGCATGATAGATAGACAAGATGTGAAAAAAAAAGGCATGAGAGAAACATTGCTTTACAAACCTTGTGACTTAATAAAAAATTAGATATTTTGCATATGAAAGCAATGTAATGTTTACTGATAATCTATCAAATTTTGTTAATGTTCACTTACTGATTTAAAAGTTATAGCATGAAAATTATGACAAGCACAAAATGGTTATGAGGTCGTCACGTTGACAAACCCTGTATCAATACGAGTTAATATGATACAACTCTTCAGGTATGACAATTTAGGATAAAGTTTCTTTTTTAATCCACAACTGTTGTACATGAAAATGTATCACAGATGTAAAATAGTACAAAACCTCTAATAAGCTGAAAATATAACTAATACTATTAGTTGTATTTTCAGCTTGTTACAGGTTTTGTAATAGCATTCAGTGGACTTCTCCCTCCAAATTTTCACAAAACTACTAAAACTAAATAAACCAATTCTTTCTTACAAATAGTAATCCTTAAATTTGATTTGATAAAGCTGGTAAAGACTCTTGTCACATTATGTGAATAGATAATATCTAATTCACTAAAAAAAATTCTCAATCCTAGCAAAAACAGTTAGATGCTTATCATTTGGCAAGAAAACTTGTGATGATACTAGATTACGTGTTTGCAAAGATTAAAATGATTTAGAAGTTGAAAATTTATGACTTAAGAAATATTAGAATCATAGTAACATGAAAAAGTCTTTCATTACAGGTGTTTTAGAATTTTTTTTCTAATTATACCATCATTTTAAAAAATTGATTAATAACTGTATAAATATAAAAAGCATCCTAAGCTTTTAAGTAAGAAATTCTTGATATGGACAGAAGCTCAGAAATATTAGTATGTTTACATTTTAAAGTGCAATATGTGTATGCTGAGAAATCAATAAATCAAACTCCTAAAATCATACAGTACTAAGGAGTGTTTAAATTGTATGTGGTGACAGCCAGAATTTAGTTTTCCTTTTTCAGTGCTTCTTATCTAGATAGGCTAATCATAATTCATCATAAGTCATCATTATTTATTTCTTCAGATGCAGGCATCTGTTTGCAACTAATCATTACAAATATTATTATACACACACCTTCTATTAATAATAACTTACAAGGGTCCCAATTACACACACACACACACACACACATATATATATATATATATATATATATATAGTTATATACAGTATATGATACAACTCAACAGTCATCTGCTTTGAAAAAGATGTTTATTGTTGACTGGCTTGTGACACTGTTTTATGTTAACAACTGTAAATATATAACATCAATATTTGCTGACCTGGAGTATATAAATAATTAACTGCTGTTAGTAATTTACTACCGATTTTGCAGGCATTACTATGTAGGTTTTTATCTACTGGTGCCTAATTAGATTCATTGCTCTGTTCATGAATGCTACTTGTTTAGTGTTCACGAATTGTCTTGTGTAAATCATCTTTGTGTTAATAAAGAGTTTGCAGAATTATTCTATGTGTTGTTATTGATCTAATCAAGGCTGTTTTTGATAACCTAGATGTGCATAGTTTGGAACAAGATCATCACAATATGTTAATGACTTAACAGTATTACATACTTATACTATTATTATGAGACTTCATATTAAATGAGCAAGTTATTCAGCAATAAAACTTTTTTCCGAAAAAGTAAGTAATAATGAATATTAACTTCCCATAACTTATTTCTTATTGAAGCAATTTTTACCCAAGTAACAGTATCACACATTGTTAGAACATAGTAATCTGTATCTAGTATTTCTGACAAACACATTTAACTCTTTCACACCCAGAAGGATACTACCTGTCTGACATGCAAATTTACACAGTGAATTAAAGAAACTGTAAAAACTTGTAGTTGATTTTCCACACATTAAAATAAAACAAACAAAAATTCTGTGTTAAAATTTATTCAATAAGAAGCTTTTTTCCATTTAACTTTATACCTAAAATATTTTTGAAAATTACACATTTTTTGGGTTTATTTCAGTGTGTTCCTAACAAAATCATTAGGGTTTGTAAGGTTTTCTGAGCATAATAAGGCACTCAAAGGCTCCCTAGAAGGAAAGTCATAACAGTTTTGAAATAATTAGCATTAACTTGTCCTTGCAACTTCAATACATCAATTTATCACCAATCACAGTTTCTCAAATTTGCTTGTCATTAGAGCTGGGCAATTAATCCAATTACTAATAAGCACTGATTACATCGATTAACATCCCACAAAATAATCAATTAGCTAAAATTGTGATTAAAATTTAAATCTGTTGTAGTCAAATATGTCTTTCTAATTATTACTCTTCTGAATTATTCCAACAATCCGAGTAATTGAAATATTGCTATTAAATTTGTTGTTAAACATACAACTATACAATGATCAACATATGCTCTGCCAACCATAGGTATCAAACCCCAAATTTAGCATTACAAGTTTTATGTTTATTTTTTGAGCCATCTCATGTGAAAATAATCTATTAGTGATAAATGTGATCAATTAATGAAACTGGCAATTAATCAATGAGCAAATTCCACTAATTGCCAGCTCTACATTTTACATTAATATCAAATAATCCTGTCAAAATATTTTAAAACTTCTATAAATGTAAGAACTTAAAAACAAAAACTGGGTAATTCATTTTTTGATTTTTTCACATCTTGGTGTTTAGTTGAACTTGAAGAAGTCAAGAACAGAATTGCATACAAAAGCATTTTTCTGGTTCATCGTTTACAGATAAATCTAACAGTAACTCAAGTTGAGTAACATAATTGAGTAAAATAAAGTCGTAGTTAGAGGAAATTATCGATTATGTTAATATGTACAGTTTTACTTTTAGTATTTTTACATAAAAATCAAAACAAAAAATTGCCAAAGACAAACAATATCAAATGAACAATTCAATTTTATAAGAAACTACAAACCTAACACTCAGTATGTGTAACTTAATTATACATTTTAACACTATGTGTTAATTTTCAGTTTCAAAATGTAAAAACTTAGATACAGGAAAAAAAAATGTCTTGCCAAACTACATCACTGTCAAGGTGAGTCAAATGATACAATCTAGCCAAGGTCGCACGTGTCGGGATTTTGTTACTGAGTTAGACTAACGAAGCCTAGCCCTTGGTAATTATATAAATCAATACACTATGTGCAATTATAAACATTGAAGTAATATAACTGCATTACAGTTTTATATTTTATTTCTCGTACATTACCTTAGTTGTCTTGAAGAAGTCAAATGACGAAAAACGGCGGCAAGTAAAAACAGATCTCAACACCAAACTCGCCATAGTTAACTTCTGACGTCCAAATAAGCCAACAAGTCAAACACACTCACAAACCTCCACTGCGCGAAGTGTATTAGATCACATCGTAGTATACATAGAGTTAGGTAACTTAACCGTTGCTCAAAGGTGACGCTCTCATCAAATGTACAAAGCAAATTCACAATCTGTATTTTATATTTTTATAAAAGTAACTATTCTAGCTTTTTAATTCACACTTTAAATATACTTATTTATTTATCCAACATGTTATTGGCAGTGGAACATATTTGAATTAGGAGCACATTATTTACTATACTAACTGTGACCATTGAACTGAAAACTAAAACATCGATTTTTCATGGTTGTTATACATAGTTCCTGTTTTTGACTAATTTTTCGGAAAACGTAACTTATTGATAAAGCAAAACACGAACGTGGTGATAGGAAGCATTTATTAAACGTTTCAAAATCATCAAAATTCCATCATCAGTAATCTAGAGGTACAAAACAAACAAACAATATTTGAAATTGCAACAGAAATATGATATACATAAGAAGTAAACAATTTGAATATACAAATTATAACAGTAGAAACTGAAAAAAAAGTGGCACCAATGAAATAGTTAAATTTAAATATTGTTATGTCTCCGTTTGTTAATTAATTTTCCGCAACTTCGTTCCGACGAAACTTTAACGACACAAGTCTTTACTTAATAAAACTGGTTCATTCTTTCCGAATATAACTTTACCGATACACTCAACTTCAACAATCGCGCTAAACAAACGCTATAACAACGAAAGTGCTCAATAATACTTCTGACTGCAGATCAATTACTCACTGTCTATACACACATTACATTCCCCTTCTTTTATATACCCGACTACCCTATATCTAGTAAATACTAGAGCATTCACCAAAGTACAGGATAGTTCTAGAAACGTGGCGTCACAGTAGTCATGTGACTCGCTGACGCAACACTGCCCCCTCCTTAATATTGTTCATCCCGAAAAATAACCACATATGATAAACCAATAACAATTAACAATAACTTAATTAACTGTACAGAATTACAAACACAAAATTACAATTCAACAAAGTCTCTCAATTTTACGGGACGTATCTTCTTCTGTACTGGTCTCCGTCTCATTGGCTTCTGCTTCATGTGGGGTTCATCCGCTTCATCAGTAAATGTCCCATCATTGGTAACAGTCACATCAGTGGTAGTAACTTCACCAAGAGCTTCACCGTTTCCCTTCTCAAAACTGAGTAGAGTTTCTTCTTCAACGGTGGCTTCTTCAGGTGGCACGTCTTCGGCAGCGTCATTTGTTCTGTTGTCCACTTCGTCCCAACTGAAATGTCCTGGACCATGATAACGCCAAAGTCTGTTGGCATGTGCCACTTTTGGCTTACCTCGCTGACCACATTTTACCCGGAAAGTCACGTCTGAGAGATGATCCACTATGTCATTTGGGCCTTCCCATGGAGAATACAACTTAGGAGACTTCCCTTGGTCTTCC